AGGACTATTGGGAGGACTAAATGAGTTAATGCAGGAAGAGCTCTTTGGCACTGTGACTGGTTCAGGGTAAGTTTAGTGACTATTTATTAAACACCCACTTTTGTTCAATTTTTCAAAATAATTTCACTTATGGTTAATTTTTTTTCTAATGGAAATATAATTGTTTTAAGTACTTAACTTTCTGCTTTGGATATTTCTGTGTGATTGTTTTAAACAACTATATTACATTAAGTTTATGATAAAAATATTTTTAAATGCAATTAAGAAAGACACAACACATACTGTTTGGCTTGGGATTAGGTTAACTCACTTTGAGTTTTGGTTGAAAACTCTGGCCACCTGGCAGATTGAGAGCTGAGGCTGGAAGGAGGAGGCAGGGGGAAGAGGCAGGCTTACTGGTACTCACTCTGATTTGCTTGGGCCTCAGTTCTCCAAGTGGATCTGTTTAAGAGTGAAACATGAGGAAAAATAATGGAAAGAAGATGAGAATTGAGTCTTCTGGTAATGAGAGAGGCCCATGGGCCTCTTCTGTGATCTTCCAAATGTAATCACTTCCTGACAAGAGAGGACCATAGACACACCTCCCTCCAAAAAGCAGTTTTTAGTTTACCAAGGTCAGTGATGTTAAGGTTGTAAGTGCTGTTAGTAGTTCCATCAAAGGAAAAAAAAAGAGAAGGCTTAATGCATTGTAATCTTATTGTGCTACTGTTCTCAAAGACAAAACAGAGAAAAGGTCAACTGATTCTCTTTTTATTGAGCATCTACTACAAAAAGTATTGTATCTTACGCAAAACACATCCAAACAGGCTGTCTAATGCTATGACAAATAGCATCATAATGAGATGCCAAAAAGAGTCAGAAGAAAATGTGCTCACATGAAAGTTTCTAAATAACTAACAACCACTGGTAGGTAGGCATGATCTGTTAATACTACCAGAGAGGTCTGTTCCAGCTTGTTGCTAACCAGGAATTAATCAGTTCTGCTTAAGTTTTAAGTATCTAAAAGGATTTGCCAGCCTGAAAACCCACAAAAGAAATAAAAATGATCAATAAATATGTTGATGTTGAAAATGATATTTAACATCACTACTATCAAAGATAAATAAATTGAAATGAAGTACTATTTGCCCTTTGTGAAACTGGAAAAACATGGGGAAAAAAAATCAGCTCAGTATTGATGAAGGTGTGGAGAGAGCAGCATACTCCTTTCCTACTGGTGGAAAAATAGGTGGTGTAATCTTTCTGATGGTCAACTTGACAATATAAAAACAAAACGTCAATATCACCTTTAACCAAGTAAGGAAGTAATTAAGCAAGTGAACAGTTTCCATGATAAACTGTTCACTGAAGCAGAAACTGCAAATAACCTGAATATCCAACACTAAGGAATTTAATTAAATTATGCATAATTTCTTCATATAATGGAATATATTTAGACATTAAAAATATTGAAGGTAAATATTACTTGAAATATTAATGTAAATACTGTCAATTAAAATAAACAAGTTATAAAAAAGCCTTAACCCATTGTGTTAAAAACAACAAAACAACAACCTTTCTCTATATGTGTCAGTGGAAAATATAAACAAGTTAAAAGGCTTCTCACTAAGTAATTAATACTGCTAACCCTCTGGGTGATAGAATAGTGTTTTTCTCCTTTTTACTTACCTGTGTTTGCTTTTCAAGAATGAACATATTATTTCTAGAACAAGAATGCAAAATATAAAGATTACAAAGATGTTTCAAGAAATGAACACTTACACATGTTCTAGGATGATTTTTGTCAGCAGGTTTTTGAGGTTCTGGTGGAAATTTTCAGGAAAGAGAGCCAGAATCGCCTCAGCAGAGGACAGGTCCCGGAACACCACCAGCCTGGTGAGGCGGTGCAGAGCCTGGAGCAGCTGCAGGACAGATGGGGAGCCCTGGGCAGTGAGAAGTGGGGCCGGGGATGGGGACAGGGCTCTAAACCCCTACTGTTAGGAAGAGGGCCTGACAAACTCTGCCAGTCACTCAAACTGAGTCCCGTGCATCCTGAGGCCTTTGCTGCAGATGCTGATGCCCACATGCCTCAGCCCACCTCATGGTTCACCTGCTGTTTCAGAACACAGATGTAGCTGCCTTTCACAGGAAGCTGTCAACCTGCCAGAAATTCTCTGTTCATGGACAAAGGGTTATTAAGTCTCTTTTCCTCCTGCACAGAATCTGACCTTCAGCTAACATTCTAGCCTGTTCCCCAGGTAATGTGAGAGAAGTGGCAAGTCAGCTGTTACTAGGCAACAGGGCATTGGTCTGATGCCTCTGGCCTGGGAGGGCTGCGTAAACACCAGGGCCCATGCTTTGGGCTTCCCTGAGTGTGGCTGCACACCTCTTGCCAGAACCTGAAGCTGTGCTTACTGAATGGCTACCAGAGGTGGCTTCTGTGGGGTTTAGGCTTTTAATCCAAGGTGGTAAGAGTTTCATGTCCTTGCCCGTAGGCTGTTACCTGGGAAGACAGAGAACAGGTCCAGGCCCAGTGTCGGGATTCACCCCAGGGAAGAGGAGGGCTGACGCTGCCCTACCAGGATGCTGTGTTCTACCCTATGTCCTTCCAAGTGAATTTGTAGCCCAGTGTGGCCTATTGTTGTCTTGAGAATATAAAAGTGTTTAGGTGATTCTAAGAAGACTCTCCAGAGGTGACTTTGTTTGCTTTAGGGCTTTTTGTATGGCCATGGGAGATTGCTCAGCTGCAGAGAGGCACAACCCAGAGCTGATGGACATTAATCCTCCACCAATAAGGGGCGGGAGTTAGTGGATAAATGCCCCAACCTCCCTGCCCTCCTGGGTGACAGCTGTGGAATGTGCTCCATGTGGTTTATGGGATCCTCCAGTTGCCTACAGCAGTAACTGCTCATTAACATATCTTCTCACTGGCTTCTCTCTCTTCTCCGTTTGACTTTTCCCCACTTTGTGCTTGCTAGGAACACCTCCCAAATAACTACTTGCAACCAAGTCTCTGCCTCAGGGTCTACTTTTGGGGAACCCAAACTAAGTTTCCAACTCAATTCCATAAGCTTGCTTCTGCCTTTTACTGTTCTACTGCTGACTTTAGTGAACAAAGCTCCCAATTAAAATAATAGTAACATAAGCCTGTTTGGATGAGCTCCTGTTTTAGACACATATTTGCCCTGAAAAGAAAAGGCTGTGAGTGCTGTATATGCTGAGACATGCTTCCTCCTGGCCACAGCTGAGAACAGGTCAGAGCCCAGCAGCACGTCCTCCCTAATCATACTCAGGCCTCAGAGCTTCTGCCCAGTGACCCCTGAAATGCCCACCTAAGCTATCCAGCTGACAATTTAACAGCAATGCAAATTCATAGGTTGGGAAAGAAAAATCATAAAAAGGTTGGACTTTATCCACACTTTCCAGGGACCAAGTGTAAAATGGAAATGGTCAGGAGCTCTGAATCTGGGTATAGTTCTCCAAACCATGCTTCATTTGTCATAAGGAAGTGATGGTTCACAGACAATAGCTTTGAAGTTCGCTAACATTAAAAAAAAATCTATTTTTAAGTTTCCTATAATGTCAGCAGGCGAATGGGGGAAAATTTTCTTTGGACGTGGTAATGACTAGGGAAGTCAAGAAAGAGACTAATGAGTTGAGAAGCCAGTGGCCAAGTCACTGCTGCCCACACTTACTTGCTCTGCCTCCTCCTGGGTCACAGACAAGCTGGAGCACGTCATATCCAAGAGTTTTTTTGAGCCAAGCGCTGAGCTGGAAAAGCTTTCCTGGCACAGCTGTCTGACAACATCTTTCGAGGAGGCCTATGAATTCACAGATGGAAGACTCTGAAAATACATGTTTTAGAACCTAATATTGTCTTGGTCATGGTGCGACAACTTTGAAACTCGTAATTTTAAGGTACGTTGGACACTTCCATTTCTGGGAAGATGGAGTAGATAAAACTTTTCACTAAACACAATTAAAGCTCCTGGGCACTAAATAGAAAACAAATGTGAGACAACTCTGCAATGGGGAGAGAAGAGGGATCTGTGTGGACCTCGTGATCAAGGAAGGGTACAGCGGTAAGCTCACTGGTCTCCTTGTTCGTTTATCCCAGACTCTGAGCTGATGAAAAGACAACCCAGAGTGCCAATTCCTGCCAATGAAACTCAAGACAAAACCCTCTGACAAATATGGGCTCTCTCTAGCCAATGGAACGAGGAAGGCGCAGCTTAGCAGGACCAAAAACCTCCAGACCATCACTACTTACTCCAGTCAAACACTACAGAAAAAAACTGTGGCTCCACTCCCACCTGTATCAGCAAAAGCTGAGTGGGGAGCACAGGGTTCCACCCTTGTGAGGCTGTAATAATGCATCCCAACATCCCCACCAAGGTGGTATCAGAGAAGGGATCTCCTTCTCTACCAGCTGGTAACAAATCCCACCACCCTGTGGTATTAGTAGAAACTACATGGAGCTAGAACTTCCACTCCTGCCCAGTAGTAACAAGGAACTCCCACTTTTGGGTGTCAACAGGAGCAAGTGCAGAACCTGGACTTAAAACATAGGATTTAAATAAGATCCAGTCTCAAAATATAGTATGAAAGTGTCCAGGTTTCAAGTGTCCAATATTCACTCATACCAAGAACCAGTAAGATCTCAAACAGAATTAAAAAATACAATCTTTAGATGCCAACATCAAGATGATAGATATTAAAATCATCTAAGATTTTAAAGCAATGACAAAAATGCCTCAACAAGTAATTACAAACATGCTTGAAACAACAACAACAACAAAATCAAAGGTCTCAGCAAAGAAATAGAAGACACAAAGAAGAATGAAATGGAAACTTTAGCACTGAAAAATACAGTAACCAAAATAAAAACTTGGTAGATGGGCTCAGGATCACAATGGGAAGGGGAGAGGAAAGGATCAGTGAACTAGAAGACATTAGAAATTACCCAATATGAACAACAAAGAAAACAGACTAAAAATAACACAGAGCCTCAGGGATCTATAGAAATGTAACAAAAAAGTCAAATCTAAAAATCTAATTCATGGCTTTAAAGCTCTAGAAGGAGAGGTTAGAAGAGGACATAACTGAAAAAGCACTCAAAGAAATAATGGCTAAACCCTTTCCAAGTTTATCTGGACACATAACTGTATATGCTCAAGACCTTAAGGAAATCTCAAACAGGATAAATCTAAAGAAATTCATGCCAAGACACATTATAATTAAGCTTCTCTAAAGACAAAGAAAAAAAATCATGAAAGCAGTGAGAGAGAAACAATACCTTATATGAGGGAAAAACAACTAGAATGATAGCAGATTTAACATCAGAAGCCATGAACTCAAGAAAGAAGTAGCACAATATTTTTCCGATGCTGAAAGGAAAGAACTGTCAACCTGTAATTCTACACCCAGCAAAAATATTCTTCAGGAATAAAGAGGAAATCAAGACCTTCTCAGATGAAGGAAAAATGAGAAAAAAATGGCAGAAGACCTACCTTAAAAGAGTGGTTAAAAGTTTGATTAACAGAAAGGAATAAAAAAGGAACTTTGGAACCTGAGAAAGAAGGACAGAACATGACAAACACACACATGGGTAAATACAACATGCTTTCCTTCTCCTCTTGAGTTTTTAAATTCTGTTTCAAAGTTGAAGCGAAAATTAAACCCTAGTCCATTACAGCTCTAAATGTAAAGGAAATACTTAAGACAATTATCGATTAGGGAAGGGATATAAAGGGAGCTGAGATTACTGCACTTCACTTTAGTAAAATAATGCCAGTGATAGATTGTGATGTCATGTGTATGTAAATTTAATAACTAGAACAATCACTACAAAGGTTATAAAAAGAAATGCATTTATTTTATGTTTGTTGAAGTATCACTGATATACAATCTTACAATGATTTCAAGTATACAGCACAGTGGTTCAACAGTTACCCATATTATTAAATCCTCACCCCCCACTAGTGCGGTTGCTGTTTATCAACATAGGAAGATGTTAGAGAATTATTGGCTATATTCTCCATGCTATACTACCATCCTGTGACCTACTTATATTATAATGGAAAATTTTTGTGCCCTATTAACCCCTGGACATACATATTTGCCCTGAAAAGAAAAGGCTGTGAGTGCTGTATATGCTGAGACATGCTTCCTCCTGGCCACAGCTGAGAACAGGTCAGAGCCCAGCAGCACGTCCTCCCTAATCATACTCAGGCCTCAGAGCTTCTGCCCAGTGACCCCTGAAATGCCCACCTAAGCTATCCAGCTGACAATTTAACAGCAATGCAAATTCATAGGTTGGGAAAGAAAAATCATAAAAAGGTTGGACTTTATCCACACTTTCCAGGGACCAAGTGTAAAATGGAAATGGTCAGGAGCTCTGAATCTGGGTATAGTTCTCCAAACCATGCTTCATTTGTCATAAGGAAGTGATGGTTCACAGACAATAGCTTTGAAGTTCGCTAACATTAAAAAAAAATCTATTTTTAAGTTTCCTATAATGTCAGCAGGCGAATGGGGGAAAATTTTCTTTGGACGTGGTAATGACTAGGGAAGTCAAGAAAGAGACTAATGAGTTGAGAAGCCAGTGGCCAAGTCACTGCTGCCCACACTTACTTGCTCTGCCTCCTCCTGGGTCACAGACAAGCTGGAGCACGTCATATCCAAGAGTTTTTTTGAGCCAAGCGCTGAGCTGGAAAAGCTTTCCTGGCACAGCTGTCTGACAACATCTTTCGAGGAGGCCTATGAATTCACAGATGGAAGACTCTGAAAATACATGTTTTAGAACCTAATATTGTCTTGGTCATGGTGCGACAACTTTGAAACTCGTAATTTTAAGGTACGTTGGACACTTCCATTTCTGGGAAGATGGAGTAGATAAAACTTTTCACTAAACACAATTAAAGCTCCTGGGCACTAAATAGAAAACAAATGTGAGACAACTCTGCAATGGGGAGAGAAGAGGGATCTGTGTGGACCTCGTGATCAAGGAAGGGTACAGCGGTAAGCTCACTGGTCTCCTTGTTCGTTTATCCCAGACTCTGAGCTGATGAAAAGACAACCCAGAGTGCCAATTCCTGCCAATGAAACTCAAGACAAAACCCTCTGACAAATATGGGCTCTCTCTAGCCAATGGAACGAGGAAGGCGCAGCTTAGCAGGACCAAAAACCTCCAGACCATCACTACTTACTCCAGTCAAACACTACAGAAAAAAACTGTGGCTCCACTCCCACCTGTATCAGCAAAAGCTGAGTGGGGAGCACAGGGTTCCACCCTTGTGAGGCTGTAATAATGCATCCCAACATCCCCACCAAGGTGGTATCAGAGAAGGGATCTCCTTCTCTACCAGCTGGTAACAAATCCCACCACCCTGTGGTATTAGTAGAAACTACATGGAGCTAGAACTTCCACTCCTGCCCAGTAGTAACAAGGAACTCCCACTTTTGGGTGTCAACAGGAGCAAGTGCAGAACCTGGACTTAAAACATAGGATTTAAATAAGATCCAGTCTCAAAATATAGTATGAAAGTGTCCAGGTTTCAAGTGTCCAATATTCACTCATACCAAGAACCAGTAAGATGTCAAACAGAATTAAAAAATACAATCTTTAGATGCCAACATCAAGATGATAGATATTAAAATCATCTAAGATTTTAAAGCAATGACAAAAATGCCTCAACAAGTAATTACAAACATGCTTGAAACAACAACAACAACAAAATCAAAGGTCTCAGCAAAGAAATAGAAGACACAAAGAAGAATGAAATGGAAACTTTAGCACTTAAAAATACAGTAACCAAAATAAAAACTTGGTAGATGGGCTCAGGATCACAATGGGAAGGGGAGAGGAAAGGATCAGTGAACTAGAAGACATTAGAAATTACCCAATATGAACAACAAAGAAAACAGACTAAAAATAACACAGAGCCTCAGGGATCTATAGAAATGTAACAAAAAAGTCAAATCTAAAAATCTAATTCATGGCTTTAAAGCTCTAGAAGGAGAGGTTAGAAGAGGACATAACTGAAAAAGCACTCAAAGAAATAATGGCTAAACCCTTTCCAAGTTTATCTGGACACATAACTGTATATGCTCAAGACCTTAAGGAAATCTCAAACAGGATAAATCTAAAGAAATTCATGCCAAGACACATTATAATTAAGCTTCTCTAAAGACAAAGAAAAAAAATCATGAAAGCAGTGAGAGAGAAACAATACCTTATATGAGGGAAAAACAACTAGAATGATAGCAGATTTAACATCAGAAGCCATGAACTCAAGAAAGAAGTAGCACAATATTTTTCCGATGCTGAAAGGAAAGAACTGTCAACCTGTAATTCTACACCCAGCAAAAATATTCTTCAGGAATAAAGAGGAAATCAAGACCTTCTCAGATGAAGGAAAAATGAGAAAAAAATGGCAGAAGACCTACCTTAAAAGAGTGGTTAAAAGTTTGATTAACAGAAAGGAATAAAAAAGGAACTTTGGAACCTGAGAAAGAAGGACAGAACATGACAAACACACACATGGGTAAATACAACATGCTTTCCTTCTCCTCTTGAGTTTTTAAATTCTGTTTCAAAGTTGAAGCGAAAATTAAACCCTAGTCCATTACAGCTCTAAATGTAAAGGAAATACTTAAGACAATTATCGATTAGGGAAGGGATATAAAGGGAGCTGAGATTACTGCACTTCACTTTAGTAAAATAATGCCAGTGATAGATTGTGATGTCATGTGTATGTAAATTTAATAACTAGAACAATCACTACAAAGGTTATAAAAAGAAATGCATTTATTTTATGTTTGTTGAAGTATCACTGATATACAATCTTACAATGATTTCAAGTATACAGCACAGTGGTTCAGCAGTTACCCATATTATTAAATCCTCACCCCCCACTAGTGCGGTTGCTGTTTATCAACATAGGAAGATGTTAGAGAATTATTGGCTATATTCTCCATGCTATACTACCATCCTGTGACCTACTTATATTATAATGGAAAATTTTTGTGCCCTATTAACCCCTGGACACCCCTCCCCCACCCAGCCCAACCCCTCCCCATGGTAACCACCAGTCACTTTTCAGTGTCTCTGAGTACTGCTCTTTTGTTCACTTTGTTTTTGTTTTTATACTCCACAAAGAAATGAAATTACAGTATTTGTCTTTTTCCACTTGGCTTATGGAAATGTACTTTAAAAATGCAGATCAATCAAAACAGAGTAGCAAAAATGTTCATATAGCCCACAGGAAGGCAGAAAAAAAAAAACCAACAACAAAATAAAGAGGATAGAAAAATAAAATAACCGAAATTAAAGAGAACACTTAATCTCTAACATATAACTATAATAACTGTAAAAGGTCTAAATATGTCAATTAAAAGATGGAAATTGTCAGAGTGTATTAAAAATATGACTCAATTAAATGCTGTCTATAAGACACTCCATTCAAATACAATGATAGAGACAGGTTAAAAGTAAAAGCATGTTTTCATTAATCAAAGGAAAGGAAGAGTGGCTACAGTAACATCAGATAAAACAGATTTCACAGCAAAGAAAATTACAGAGATGGACACTGTGTAAATATAAAAGTTTCCATCTACCAAGAAGACATCATAAATGTGTATATAACCTGCAAGACAGTATATGAAGCAAAATCACACAAAACTGAAGGGAGAAATTGACAAATCAACAAGCATTGTTGGAGACTTCAACACCCTTCTTTCAACAATTGATGAATCAACTAGATATTCAGTAGGACAAGACACTCGACACCACCATCAATCAATCTCATTGACATTTATGGAATACTACCCAGCAGCAACAGAATACACATTCTTTTCAAGTGCCCAATGAGCATACACTAAGATAGATCATATTATGAGCCACAAAACAAACTTCAACAGATTTAAAAGAACTGAAATCATACAGAAGGTGTTCTTAGTGACAATGGAATCAAACTAGAAATCAGTAACAGAAAGATGACAAGAAAATGTCCATCCCCTTGGAAACTGAACACACTTCCAAATAAATCTACAGATTAAAGAGGAAGTCTCAAGGGAAATTAAAAAAATTACAATGAGTGAATGAAAACAAAAAAAACAACATACTAAAATTTCTGACACACAGCCAAGAGTGTTGAGAGAAAAATGTAAAGCATTAAATACATCCATTAGAAAAGAGGAAAAGTCTCAAATCAATAATCTAAGCCCCCACCTCAAGAACCTAGGAGCAAACCAATGAAACTGAAAACAGAAAAAAGGGAAATCACTGGCACAAAGAACTGCTTCTTCAAAACTATCAAGAAAACTGACAATCCTTTAGCAAGACTGGCAAAGTTAAAAAGAGAGTTAACACAGATTACCAATATAGGAACGAAACGGCATAATCACTACAGACCCTGCAGATTTCAAAAGGAAAATAAGGGAATAACTACAAACAACTCTCGATATAAATTTGACAGCCTAAACAAAATGGATCAATTCCTCAAAAAAAAACACAAACTACCACAACTCTCCCAATATGAAATGCACAATAAGAAAATGGAACTGTAATTTTTAGACTCTCCAAAAGGTAATCTCCAGGCCCAGATGGTTTCACTAGAGAATTCTAACATTTAAAGAAAGAATTAAGTAATTCTACACAATCTTTTCTAGAAAACAGTAAAGGAAGGAACACTTCCCAATTCATAAAGGTAGTATTTACTACTTCATAAAGCTAGTATTATACAGATATGATACCAAAATGAGACAAAGACTATATAAAAAAAAAACCAAGTACAAATAATCCTCACAAAAATAGATGTAAAAGTTCTTAACAAATTATTAGTAAATAGAATCCAGCAATATATAAAAGAATTATTACTATAACCAGTTGTTTATTTATTCCAGCGATGCAAGGCTGGTTCAGTTTTTGAAAACCTATGTAATCCACCATATTAACAGGCTAAAGAAAAAATCACATGTATCAGTCAATGCAGAAAAAGCAGTTCACAAATTCAACATCCAATTCTCAATGAACTTTTCATAAAATTAGGAATAGCCGGGACTTTCCATAACCTGACATACAACATATACAAAAACAAAAAGACTGAAGTTGGGAACAAGGCAAGGACTTCTGCTCTTACCACTCCCATCCAACACAGTGCTGAAAATTCTAGCCACTGAAGTAAGGCCTCCCTGTCCCCCAAACACCCCTCCAAAAAAGGAAGGAAGGAAGGAGATAGGGAGGGAAGGAAGAAGAAAGGGGTATGCCAATCAGGAAGGAAGAAATAAAAGTGTCCCTATTTGCACGTAACATGATCCTGTACACAGAAAGTCTCAAAGAATGTACAGAAAAACTACAGAAAAGTGACTTCAGTAAGTTTGCAGAAACAAAATACACATACAAAAAAATCAGTTGTATTTCTATATACTAGCAATGAACAAGTGGACACTGGAATTGAAAATACAGTATCATTTGCAATTGTTCAAAAAGAGAAATACTTAGATATAAATCTAACAAAACATGTACAGGACTTGTATGCTGAAAATTACACACAACACACAAGAAGGAAATCAAAGAATAAATAGGCAGACATATCATGATCATGATTGGAAGATTCACTAAAGATGTCAATTATTCCCTAATTGAGATACAAATTTAATGCAATTCCTATCAAAATCTTAGCAAGCTTTTTTTTACATATAGCCAAGATCATTCTAAAATTTATATAGGAAAGCAAAGGAACTAAACTAGCTAAAACAATTTTGATAAGGAATGAAGAAGGAGGGAATCAGTCTATCTTATTTCAAGAGTATATAGCTATGGCAATCAAAACTGTATTATCAGAAGGATAAACAAATAGATCATTAGAACAAAATAGAGAACCATGAAATACGACTCACACAAACATGACCCACTGATTCTTCACAAAGTTGCAGAAGCAATTCAATGGAGGAAAGACAGCTTTCTGAACAATTGGACATTCATAGGCAAGAAGAAAAAAATCTCAAACTGTCTCTCACACACCTTATACAAAATTAACTCAAAATCAATGATTACTATATAAAAAAAAAACCAAGTACAAATAATCCTCACAAAAATAGATGTAAAAGTTCTTAACAAATTATTAGTAAATAGAATCCAGCAATATATAAAAGAATTATTACTATAACCAGTTGTTTATTTATTCCAGCGATGCAAGGCTGGTTCAGTTTTTGAAAACCTATGTAATCCACCATATTAACAGGCTAAAGAAAAAATCACATGTATCAGTCAATGCAGAAAAAGCAGTTCACAAATTCAACATCCAATTCTCAATGAACTTTTCATAAAATTAGGAATAGCCGGGACTTTCCATAACCTGACATACAACATATACAAAAACAAAAAGACTGAAGTTGGGAACAAGGCAAGGACTTCTGCTCTTACCACTCCCATCCAACACAGTGCTGAAAATTCTAGCCACTGAAGTAAGGCCTCCCTGTCCCCCAAACACCCCTCCAAAAAAGGAAGGAAGGAAGGAGATAGGGAGGGAAGGAAGAAGAAAGGGGTATGCCAATCAGGAAGGAAGAAATAAAAGTGTCCCTATTTGCACGTAACATGATCCTGTACACAGAAAGTCTCAAAGAATGTACAGAAAAACTACAGAAAAGTGACTTCAGTAAGTTTGCAGAAACAAAATACACATACAAAAAAATCAGTTGTATTTCTATATACTAGCAATGAACAAGTGGACACTGGAATTGAAAATACAGTATCATTTGCAATTGTTCAAAAAGAGAAATACTTAGATATAAATCTAACAAAACATGTACAGGACTTGTATGCTGAAAATTACACACAACACACAAGAAGGAAATCAAAGAATAAATAGGCAGACATATCATGATCATGATTGGAAGATTCACTAAAGATGTCAATTATTCCCTAATTGAGATACAAATTTAATGCAATTCCTATCAAAATCTTAGCAAGCTTTTTTTTACATATAGCCAAGATCATTCTAAAATTTATATAGGAAAGCAAAGGAACTAAACTAGCTAAAACAATTTTGATAAGGAATGAAGAAGGAGGGAATCAGTCTATCTTATTTCAAGAGTATATAGCTATGGCAATCAAAACTGTATTATCAGAAGGATAAACAAATAGATCATTAGAACAAAATAGAGAACCATGAAATACGACTCACACAAACATGACCCACTGATTCTTCACAAAGTTGCAGAAGCAATTCAATGGAGGAAAGACAGCTTTCTGAACAATTGGACATTCATAGGCAAGAAGAAAAAAATCTCAAACTGTCTCTCACACACCTTATACAAAATTAACTCAAAATCAATGATGGACTTAAACACAAAATATAAGTAAATGTAAAACTATAACTAACAGAAAAAACCTGAAAATTTGTAGATCTATTTAGCAAAGAGTTCTTAGACTTAAGACCAAAAACAATTCACAAAGGACATAATTTTTTATAAACTGTACCTCATAAAAATAAAAAATTTGCTCTGCAAAAGCTCCTGTTATGGGCTGAACTGTGTCCTACTAAAACTCATATATTGAAGTCCTAAGCCCCAGTACCTCAAAATGTGACCTCATATAGAAATAAGATGGTTGCAGATGTAATTAAGATGAGGTCATAGAGTGGACCCTATTCCAATGTGACTGGTGTCCTTATTAAAAGAGGAAATTTAGACACAGAGATGCAAACAGGGAGAATGGCACATGCAGGTGAATGTAGAGATCAACAAGCCAAGGTACACTAAATATTGTCAAAACCCAACAGAAGCCAGGAGAGAGACATGGAACAAGTTGTCCTCACAGCCCTCAGAAGGAATTGAGCTGATTTGTTTTGACATGTGTAAGGGCCAAAACAATCTCTTAACAAATATTTGGAAGAGTGTAAGACTGAAAGGGAGGCACTTCATAGGGTTTTGTTAAGAACTAAACAAAATTATGGATTGGAATTAACTTCTGACTTTCCCTGTAGAAGATGGGACAGCTTTTGTCTTCCTTCAGAATCAAGGAAGATGCCTTGATCTCAGACTTCTGGCCTCCAGAACTGACAGACGATAAATTTCTGTTGTTTAAGCCACCATGTTTGTGGTACTTTGTTATGAAAGACCTAGCAAATTAATACACTCTATGAAGAGAATGAAAAGTACAGACTAGGAGAAAATATCTTCAAACCACATATCTGACAAAGGACTAGTATCTAGGATATACAAATAATCTCAAAACTCAAAACTAAAAAAGCAAACAATGAGATTAGAATATGGGCAGAAACTAAGATATTTCACTGAAGAAGATATATAGATGGTAAATGAGTATGTGAAAATATGTCCAACATTATTAACCATTAGGGAAATTCAAATTTTAACCACAATGAGATATAAATACACACCTATCAGAAGGGCTCAAGTAAAATATAGTGATGACAACAAATGCTGGCAAGGATGGGAAGGAACTGGATCACCCATACATAGCTGGTGGGAATATAGAGTGGTACAGCCACTCAAAAACAGTCTGGTAGTTTCTTTTTTAAAAAAAACATGAAACATGAAACTACTAATTAATCCACCAATTGCACTTCTGGGCAATTATTTCAGAGAAATAAAGAGTGTGTTCACACAAAAACCTGTACACAAATGTTTATAGCAGCTTATAATAGCAAAGCACCAGAAGAAATCTGTCATACCATGGAATATGGCTCGGCAATAAAAAAGGAAGGAACTATTTATGCACACAATGTGGATGAATCTCCAGAGAACTAGGCTAAGTGAAAAAAGCTAATCCCCAAATGTTACATACTGTATGATTCCACTTATGTAACATTCCTGAAATGACAAAAATTACAGAAATGAAGCACAAAGTTGTGAATGCCTGGCAGCTATCAGTGGTAGGAGCCTTTGTAGTCCACAGACTAGAACTATAGTTCAGCTTAAAGAGGGATAAGGGCACAGGGGAAATGGGCATGACTACAGAAGGGCAACATGAAGGATCCTGTGGTGATGGAAGTGTTCTGTATCTTGACTGTATCAATATCTGTGTACTGGCTGTGAAATCGTACTATAGTTTTGCAAGATGTTACCACTGGGGGAAACTGGGTAAAGGGCAAATGGGGTCTCTCTGTACTTTTTACAACTGCATGTAAATCTCTATCTCAAAATTAAAAGTTTAAGTAATTTTTTAAAGAAGAAAGTATACAGGACATAGAAATGAAAATCAATTAACTAATTATGTATTGCTACATAATGGCAAACAAAAGAAGTCAGACACAAAAAAGTATATCCTGTATGATTTCATTTATGGTAAGTTCAAACATGGGCAATATTGAGGGGATCAGAAATAAGGATAGTAGTGACTATAGGGAAGGACAGTGAGGGTGGTAATGAAGGAATAATAGACTTCAGCATACTGGTAATGTTTCATTTTTTGATTGTGGTGATTAATGGGTATGCAATAAATCACTGAGCTGTACACTTATAATGTGCACTTTTCTGTTACACATTTTTAAAAAATTTCTTGCAGAAATCTATAGTACGAACAGAGTATGGGGTGAGGTAGGGGGGCAGAGCAGCCAAAATGAGGGTGAACGGGGGCTGAACTGGGAACTGAGAACTCTGGTTTTCCTATCCTGGCTTGGTTACTTCATTAAATCATGTAACAACTATTTACTGAGCACATAGTGTACGCTAGGCGTTGAGTATACACTTGTTGGGGATACATCTGTAAATAACATGAAGTAGATATTTTAGGGACAAATGATACATGTGAACACTGGGGAGATTGTTGATCCAAATGAGGGACACTTGCAAGGACCAATGATGATGATGTATTACGAACTGCTGAGTGGAATTAACTCAACCCTCTCCACCTTGAGTTTTAAAAAGCGGTCCCTCGTGGATCTTTCATTCTTGTTAGAAAAACAACAGACAAATAGCTCACAATGTCAGCTTGTGACAAGTTCTAGGAAGGAAGATAAGGCGGTCCCATCTCCTACAGGGGAAGTCCTTAGTTAAACTCCATCATTTTATTTGGTCCTTATAAAACCTATGAAGTACACCCCTTTCAACCTCATACTCTTTCAAATGATTGTCGAGTGTTTTGGCTCTGACACATGTCAAAGCAAGTACATTAAACCCGGGGCTCAGAACACAGAACGCATATTTATCAGCAGAGGTCTGGGCGCTCGCAGGGGAAAGAATGTACCAACCATGGAGCCAGAGGGGCCGGGATGAAACGGGGGTGCTGGCAATGAGGATCTAGCAATTATCACCCCAATACACCGATCCCAAAAGACAGCCCCAGAGACCATTGGTAGGGTACATTTGTACGCCTTCACGTCCATTGTCTGTGTTTCCTCACTATTCTGTTAGGGCGAACTTCATTTTGTTCCTGCTTTCAAAAAGCTAGGAAAGGCAAAACGACTTGCCCGGGATCATACAGAGAGGTAGTGGCATAGTCGTCATTCTAAATCAGGGTCCATTTATTCCCAATTCCTGCTCCACGCAAAGTCCTGGGACACAGGCCCACCTGACGCTGCCCCCAACCCTCTAATTTACCTTCAGCAGGCTCTGGAGCGCAGCGAAGCTCTCGGCAGTCACCGCGGCCATCTTCCCCGAGTCACGTGACCGCAGGACCCGGAGATGCTGGGTCATGTGGCTCGGCCGGCGCTGTGGGGCGTGCCGGGGGCTGTGGTCCTTCAGGGTGGCTGCAGCTGCCAGGGTTCTGGTGCTGTGGAATGGGCCGCTGCCGCGTAGGCCGCGGCCCTAGTGTGGCGCAGCCCGGGGAAGCTAGGACAGCAGGGTTTAGCGGACGCGAGCGCGGGATGGTTTTCAAGGGAGGAGTTTGGCTTGTTTACCTACAGGGTTGGGGGAACCGGCTGTTTTTCCCTAACGGTATGGATTGGCTGGCCAATTTGGAGAAGGCCCCTGCAGGTCTGACAAGCGCCTTGGAAACATCTGTTCAGGAGTAATTAGCGTACCTTGTGGCTTGGAATTAAAATGTAGAGCCTTAAGATAACAGTAGCTTTGGCCAACATCTTAACTACAACCTCGTGAGAGATTCTGAGCTGGAACACCCAGCCGAGCCACTCCTGGATTTCTGCCTTCAAAAGCTGTATGATTATAAATATTTTTTTAAACTACCAAGGTTTTAGGTAATTTATTACACGGCAGTAATTACTAATACATGGAGTCGATAAAGCATAGGGGTTTTAGAAAACGATCTAAATTTGAATCCCAACTCTGCATTTTACTAACTGTAATTTGAACAAATTCTTGAACACTGAGCCTCAGTTTCCACATGTGTAAAATGACGTTGATCCTACCTTCTTCAAAGAGCACAGGTGAATGCTGGGCGCTGCCCTAGTGGGCGGGTACCCAGCTCTCCTTGCCCTGGGGGGCAGGTATGTTATGAGGGTATCCCCTGGACTCCAGCAAGTGCCTTGTAAGGCCTGTGGCCCAGCACCACGTCGTCTCATTTTGGTAGGGCTGCCCAGGTTGCCTCTACCATATTGCACTTGAAGGTTTGTCTCTAGTCTGGAGCACTTCCAGCAGCAATTCCTAAACAATAAATGTTTTCATGGGAAGGAACAGAACAGAATTCATTTTCATGATTTGGTCTTACTACCTGATTTTTGTTAGGCCTAATCTGATTTCTTTCCAATTCTGGGTATATGAATCTGCTTACTTTCATTATTTAATAAACTTGCTATGTGCAAGGCTCCATTCTAAGCCTCTCACACTTAGCTACTTCCCATAACAATATGACAATCCTTCATGACACACACACACACACACACACACATGCACACATACACACAGTACTATTATTTCCCCCCACTTTACATATGGGGAAACTGAGGCACAGAGAAGTTAAGTAACTTGTCCACAAGCTAAGTAGTGGCAGATCCCAGATTCAAACTTGAGCAGTCCAGCTCCAGAGTCTGTGCTGTTAACCACCAAGTTGTACATGTCTCCTTGTCTTCCCATAACTGAAAATTTATGCTTCCGTCTGGATGTCTGACTACCTTTCCCAGGGGGCAAGAACACTCTAAGGGTGTTCCTGGACAGTCAACCCAGTGGTATGGTGATAGACAAGATAACTAGTGGAAGGGGTACCTTGGGCTTTGGAAGAAGACTCATGTTCAATTCCTGGATCCTATGGACTTTTGGAAAGTTACTTCATCTCTGAACCTTTTTCCTTATCTGTAAAATGGGAACAATAGCAAAAATACCTTTTGACCATTAGGGGGAGCTCAAGGATGATTTATACCCAAAATGGGGAAGGATTATTTATATGGAGACTCCGTTCTAGCCACTGGCAGCACTAAAGAGCAGAGCTTTCTGTGTTGGAGGAAAATATGGGCATTAGGGTGATAAATCATCTTAGTTTACATAGGAATGAGGGATTTCCTGGCATGCAGGACTTCAGTGCTAGCACTAGGATTGTCCTGGGCAAAACAAGCTAGTTGGTCACCCTGGTTTGAGCCCTGAGCTTTTGAGGAAAACCATCATTGTAGAGCTCTTGTTCTGTCTTCTCCATTCCGACTGATGTGAAGAGAGTGTTATGGATGCAGAATTTTTAATAAAAGGCGATTTAAGGGCAGTAATCTTAGCGTTAAGGTTTTTTTTTTAGTAATAGCCTATTGAGGTGTAATTTATATATATAATTTTTCCACTTCAAGTGTACATACAGTTCAGTGAATTTTGGTATATTCACAATGTTGTGTAACCATCACCACAGTCAATTTTAGGACATATTTGCCACCCCAGACCCTTTAACCATCATCCTACCAACCCTCTTCATCACACCCAGCCTTAGGCAGCTGTTCATCTCCTTTCTGTCTGTAGATTTGCCTCATCTGCACATTTCATGTAAATGGAATAATAATATATGGGCATTTTATTAGTTTCTTCCACTTCGCCTAATGTTGTCATCCATGTTGTAGCATGTATCAGCACTTCATTCCTTTTGATTGCCAAATAATTACCATTGTATAGATAAACCCCATTTTGTTTACTCATCAGCTGATGGACATTCAGGTTGTTTCCCCCTTTAAACTATAATGAGCAATGCTGCTGTGAACACTCTTGAACAAACTTTTGTGTAGCTTTATGTCTTCATTTCTCTTGGGGTACATACCCAGGAGTTAATTTGCTGGGTCATATATGGTAACTCTTGTGTTTGATTTCCTGAGGAACTGCCAGACTGCTTCCCAAAGTAGTCACACCATTTTATATGCCCATCAGCAATGTATGAGGGTTCTAGTTTCTTCACATACCCCCCAGACCTGTGATTGTCTGTCTCTCTCATATAGCCATCCTGGTGGGCGTGAAGCGGTGTCTCATTATGAGCAATCTTGTGTTGAGGTTACATTTGCATGGCTGGCACATTTTGTCCCACTACTTATGTTTATTTGAGGTGATGGACATTATGGGGCTCCAGCTCCGAGTCTGCCTGTGGTCAGTCCTGGCTGCCTTCTTTATTTGGGGAACATTTGCAGGAGGTGGATGAGGCCAAGTGCCCTCTGGTCCTTCAGGCAGACCCCCCTCATTTTCCCGGTTTCCCTTTTTCTCACCCCCATTTCATGGACTGAGATGAAGGTGGATGTCCAGGAAGTAGAGGTTGTTTCATCTTTCTGATCTTATGCCACCTACTCTAAGTCAGGGAATGCTTTGAAATGGCCTGATCCGCTCAAACCTGCAGACTGCAGGCAAACCAGGGACAGAAGACTTGAAAATGACAGGTATGCGCTGGCTTGGAAATGTTGTCAGTGTCCAGCTCGGGCCTCAAAAGCTGTGGGAATTGGGGCCCACTTTGCACTAGCAGTATCTTAATTAACACACTGTTTCAAAGTTGGAAAAAGTAACATAAAAATCCATTATTTCTGGCTTTTCTTTAAAAGCTGATAGGCCTAGCCATGCCACTCCCACCTTTCTGCATTGCAGCAGTTGATTGGAGCTGAGTCCTGGCTGTCCCTTGGACCCTGGCAGGGGCTCTCTAAGCCCCCCTGTCCTCACTACTCTCTGCTGTGTCACAGTGGGCCTCCCATGCTTGTGTCACCTGACATTGCTGAGAGTATTTGTAGGTGTCCAACTTCCCTCAGGGACCTAATGGGGTAAACTTAGGCCACAGTAGACAGCAAAGCTGAATGTGAGCATTCGAGATCCTGGGTTCCCAGCCATCTCCCCACCATTTCCTCATGAGTCTAAGCAAGAAGCAGACATAAGGTGGGCCTCTAATTTGCCACTCGTGCTTTTCAAGTGATTGTCATGGGCCAAGTACTGTCCTAAGAATTTCACCTCAATTAACTCATTTAATCCTCACAGTAACCCAAGAATAATCCCAGTTTACAGGAGGGAAAACTAAGGCTCAGAGAAAAAATGTGCTCCCAATCCATGGGTAATGAATGGCATAGCAGGGATTTGAAGGCAAGAGCAAATGAGGTTGCTTGGGGAGCTGGCTCATAATATAGTATCTGGTCCATCATGGGGATCCACTGGATGCTACTACATGATGATTCGTCTGGCCTTACCATCTGCTGCTGACATGCTGCATGGCCGGGCATCGGTCCCAGCCAGGTGTGCTCTTGTTAAAGCCTGGAGTGGGAGTAAATGGTATATGTGTCTCGAGAGATGATATCTATGATTCTTTTCAGACTGACTTGTGGTGAGTTCCTGAGAGCTGGTAAGAGAAGAGGAAAGGTGCATTTGGCAACTTGCCATGCCTAGAAGACTAGCGCATTCCCAGTCAGTTCCTCCTGAGAGGTGTTCCCTGCCTCCCATTAAGAACACCATGGGCTGGGAATCCAAAGTTCCTCTCTCAGCTCTGCATGGCCTGGTGGCTATGATTAGTGAAGTCCAGAGAGCATCAGGCCTGGCAGGGCACGGCGGCCTCATTTCTTGTCCTCCCATCCCCAGGAGTAACCCAGAAGTGGCTAACACACTGCATTGTCCTCACACACAGAGCCTCTTTGTCTCCCTGGCACACAGAGAGGAGGCTACAACAATGGCCTTGAATGTCACTTTACTCTCTTTTCTCCAATGGTATACTTGTTTTTTCAGTTCTGGAATCAGCTAAACAATAATTTCCTGCAGGGAGTACCAGCTTTTCATTTTTTCTGCCTGCTTCTCTGGCAGTCCTCAGGCCCCAGGTCAGTGGGAACTGAGTGGAGAACAAGCCCAGAGAGAGCTGGGCCCATCAGAATGTCACCTTTTTAGAAGGCTGGAAGGCTGTGGCACCTCTTCTCTCTTTCTTGGAGGAAGGAACCAGACCAGGTAACAAAGGAAAGATCGAGAGCTGCTGGTGGGGAGCAGTGGGCTGCAGGTGATGGCTAAGGGTCCAGCCTGAGGAGGGTGAGTCTGCGTTTTTAAGACACCCTGTTTGCTTGAGAGCCAATGTCTGCTGGTAAGCAAATAAATAAGCAAAAGCAACTGGAGTCAAGTTTGGCAGCCTCCCAACTAGGGAAGCATTCTGCATGACTGACCCCCATCCAGTGCCTCTGGTGGCTTTGGGTGACAGAAACTTCAGGTCCATGTGGGTTTATTGAGATAACCATTTCCTTAATAATAGTTGTCATTATTAGCCTCTTAATATATGTACTGTATATGCATACATGTTACTATATGTATCTTACTGTATTATAGCAAGCACTTACTGTATAGCAGACACCTACACATTGTGCTTCACATTCTT